AAATTATGTTTCATTTAAGAATCACTCAAAAAGCTCATTTGACTCAGCAAACTCAAAGGAGAATATAAACAGAGATGTATATACTCTAATCTAAATCCATAATTATAGCAAGTAAATCATAAGAAACAGATAGGCTAGATAAGATAAACTTAAACTCCAGTACTGAGTTCATGTTGTAACTGTAACTTGTTTTACCAACAATACAATATTTGTACGTATAATTAAATCATAAAAAAGATAGGCTATATAAGATAAACTCCAATATTAGTTTTCTGTTGTAACTGTAACTTGATTTAACAACAATACAGTATTTTTACGAGCTTGATATATATGCAGAATAATTTATAGGACATACACATGAAATAGTGATTAAATGGACGCACAAAATAGTCCAGAAAAGTTATGATATTAGAAGTTTTGATTGATTTCGATTATATTATTTCTGAGTTCTAAATCTGTACAAAAGAAAATTTGATATGGAGTTTTAATAACCACAGACTATTTGTTTCGCTGTAATGAGATATACGAGCCGTGTACGCTTTTATTTAAATACTCCCAATACAGAATTATTAATGCAGATCCTTGACATTACGAAAACGACTTTACGTCAGGTTAGCTCGAACAGTATCATTACTGGAAATACTCAATTATCTGTTTATCTATCTATAGGATGAGATATTTAAAAGTTCAAACTAACTACAAAAGCTTTAATTTATTTCGTTGATTCCACATATGTTTTTTAGTTATATTTGACATAAAATTAATATTATCGTTTACTTTCATAATAAACAACTTAAACACTATTTCTTAGTTTTAAACATGTTTTATGCATATTCATTTCAAGAAAACCTGGAATTTATTTAACTTATTACAAGTGCTTAAATTTGAATGTGGAATCCATCAAGTTTACCACTGAGCCATTGGGCTTAGAAATGATATAAACTTTGACAGGCTTCAAATGGAAAATATTTCAGAATTGATACATGTACAGTTTCTAATACTCATCATATTTTGTCGTTAAAAGACTTGTACAGGAGGTTGAATACATTATATTAAAATGATTTTGGAGCCTCACCTCGTCGTTACAGTTCATGTCGCCACGTCCGGTCATGCTCAACGTAACTACTGTATATCTTAAAAATAGGCCTGTAACGCAATTTCTATTGCTAAATGTGTTTATTTATTATACATGTTATAATTATAATGATTGATGATATAACTTAGTGATGCATAATACAACAAGTTTACATGTTATGTTCATTATCTCTTTAGTAAGTAACATTTTAACTCTGCAAACGGAAAAGTATAAAATGTCTCCAATTATACACATTTTGAGTGTACATTATTAACTCTTTAGTAAGTAACATTTTAGCTCTGAAAAGTATCAAATGTCTTCAATTATACACATTTTGAGTGTACATTATTATCTCTTTAGTAAGTAACATTTTAACTCTGCAAACTGAAAAGTATCAAATGTCTTCAATTATACACATTTTGAGTGTACATTATTATCTCTTTAGTAAGTAACATTTTAACTCTGCAAACTGAAAAGTATCAAATGTCTTCAATTATACACATTTTGAGTGTACATTATTAACTCATTATTAAGCACAGTTGTTTTAGCTGAAGACCGTCTTCAATTCTCTGTGGTTATGACAGTCTTAGATATCGAAGTCGTTCAAAAATGTTAGAGTTCTGTAATTAAATTTGGGTATAAATTATTATTATAGATTATAATATGCTTGTTCTTTAATCACACAAGTTCAGCATATACTGACTTCAAACATAGTTATCACTTAATAAATAGGTTAATTTTAATACGAGAATAAAGTCACAGAATGCCATTTTGTAATGCCACTAAATAAATTTAATATATAATTCAAATATATTAAATTATCATATTAAATTTTTAACTATCTTCGTTTATTAAAATAGTGATTTGGTATTAGACAGAAGCTTTGGATTTACCAGCCGCTTCAATATAGATACTTTCCAATAGCGTTCTTTTTATACGGTTACTTATATGAAAATTATCATTACTGTTACATGTTGGCTGATGTTTACGTGGGAGTCGTTCATCCGATGTTCAATGTTACAGTTGTGTAAAACAATGTAAAATGATTTAACCTGGTGGTTAGGGCTCATGATTCGCAACCTGCGAGTCAGAGATCGAACCCCGTCACTGAACATGCTTGCCATTTCAGTGTTATAAGGTGACGGTCAATCCCACTATTAGTTGGTAAACGAGTATCCGTCCAGTTGGCGGTGAGTGGTGTTGACAAGCTACCTTTCCTCTAGTATATCACTGCTAAATTAGGGTCAGATAGCCCTGGAGTGGCTTTGCGCGAAGTTGAACAGTCAAACAAGTTAACACACAAAGCAAAACGTGGACTAGATTAATAAATAAACAACTTGCTTTATTATAACAAATTTAGTTGAAACTCAGTATGGAAACAAAGTTAACGATAGCATATATTGTTAAAACAACATTAACATCTGATCTGGTGCAAAAATGGTTAATATTATGCTGAGGTCAAAATATTGTTCATATGGTTTCAAAAACGGTCATCAGTAAATAGTGGTCGTAATAACTGGCGAAGAACTGTAAGAAAAGTTTCAGAAATATTACCGCACTACAGTGAATAAATATTGATAACAGTCGTAGGCTGAGCGCTGTATTCCATGAGTCGATATTATACAGATGCGTTTATGCGATATTGGAACATGTGGTAATAGAAAAGTTTCTTAAGTTTCTTGTATGTAATAAAAAACGAAACGTGGGAAGAACTTTACATATTGTTTTCCGAAAGTGATTTGATGGTACGTAACTGTTTTCTGTAGCTTATCGATTTTAGTTTCTTGGAAAGTGTCATGAACAGCAAGCATCCCATGTTTATAAAGAAAAGAACTTATACGTGGTAGTAGGTCTCTTGCTCTAGTCAACTACGACGGTGTGTGTGTATATAAAGAAATTCAAAAAATATTACACGAGCTTAGTTGACAGTTTACTGAAGAATTTATTCATTTTCATCTTATAACTCAATGTACGGTTGTGAACACAAAAAAAAAAATGCAAATAAAAGTTATAACCGTTTTATTGTTTAATATGCATTGTGTGTAACTACCTTGAAGTGTTAATACTGAAGCACAAAATAGATAAATGTTTTTAATGAATAGTAAAGTGTTAAAGTTAATGAATGATGAATGAAATTTTTAACAAAAGATATTAAACGCTATTTTATTGATAACTGATAAAACTACCAAAAACACAGCTCCAATAATGATGCCAGGAGTATACAGATACAGTTGTAAGTGTTTAATCGAATAAAATATTAAAGTTAGAGATTCGTTCTCTACTGAGTTATTTGTAACTTGGTACGTGCATCCTCTGGAGATTATGTAAATAAAATTCACCTGAAAAGTGTCCTTGGATCTTTAAACATTATTTTTCTTCCATTTTATCTTTTTTGGGAAGGTTGAGTCTCATAAAATGCTCACACTGAGCAATTAGCAATCAAAGCAATTAAATCTTTCAATTAGCACCCAACATTGAAATATGAATACACTTTTTATCTTATAAATCTTATTTTTCATCTTTCAATATTGTGTAAGCTTCATTTCATTTTAATAGTCACAAGTGACGTTTACATTATAGTTTGTTTTTCATGCATGTTAAATTTTGAAAATTTCAAGGAACCCTGTTAATCATTCAAGAACGTTAAGTTAACGATTGAACGATGCCTCTCGCTACATAGCATTTAGTTATGTAGCACAAAAATGATGGAGCTCATTGAATATAGTACTTACAATAACAATTGGTTAACACCGAAACGTGATAATATGAATATGAAAATAAGAAATCGGAATTTGAAAAAAAAAAAATCATGAAACCTAGAATTTGAAATAACATTAAACTGGAATAAGTTGTACTATGAAATCTAAATTAGTTCTTTATTGTCTGGCGATTTACTTAAAAAGTAGGTTTTAAAACTAAAAATGTTCTGTCAATTTCTGATATATGCATCTTAACATTTAGAGCAGTGCCCAACATTCCTAGACTCAAGGAGCTGTGGTGACATTTTGGATATGTGGTTAATGGTCTTATAACCTGAAAAACTAACCTTTAAGGCATATCGGAGCTACACTGAACTTTAACTTAGCCGTAATAAACTTAAACAGGTATCAAAACTTTTAAAACATAACTCAGGCATAAACGTATATTTTGAGACAGTTTAGCTTTGGTGGACTTATGCTGATATGACAATTTTTTAAAAGTTCAACACTAATGTATTTAAATTGTCTAAGTAGTTTCTAAAGGAAAATAGAGTATTTATCAGAATTAATCTTGGGTTAGGCTCATCTGAGAATTGTTGTTACCAAGAAGTTTTTTTTTTGTAATTTTATTACGAGTAAATCCCAGTTATCAGACAGTAACGGTTACTGTAAATGTAAAATTTCTAACATGGACTTTTTTAAACATTTATCTTTACTAATAGGATTCCAGTGTTTATTTTATTTACCCACATTTTACTTCCCATTCGTTTCTTTGTTTGTTTTTTTTTCACGAAGACTATTGGAATAAGAAATAGATGCTCTGGCTTGTTTACAATTTATATATATATAGAAATATTTGCTTATCTTGATATATTCTTGTTTATACTTATATGTCTTTATAAACATGATTAATAATTTGCGGTTGTTTAGGAAGAAAAACCGTAATACATGATTTTATCACGTATTTATTAGACTTGGATAAACTTTTTCAGCTATCGAGAACATTATGTGTTAAGGCAAATTAATGTGTTAAATGTTAAGGCAAGAAATGTTCTGAGTAATTTATCTAACTAGATAATTGGTTGTTCTTCACTAACAGCTTCCAATCACATCGATTCTTTTCGTTTCAATAATTGGAATTAATAGTATTAATTTGTTAATAAAATAATTTAATCATGATTGTCAATGATTATTGTTTCAACAAGAACAACATTTTCTTTACCCAGGTGTGTATTGCCCAATTGAGTGGGACAAAGCCTATTGCTGGCCGTATGTTCCAGCAGGCACCCTCTACAAAATTCCGTGCCCGTCTTACATCCACAAGTTTGTTCCAAGCGGTAATTGTATTTGATATGATTATTAATCTTTGTAATTTTATCTGTGATTTCTAAATACAAAGTATATAGCTAAGTAGGGAATAGTGGAAAATGAGATACATTTTCTGAAGCATTATAATAGTATTCTATTTTCATCAAATATCTTAAACACAGTTACTTTTAGATCACGATAGAGGTAATTTGTTAACTGAATCGAGATAACTCAAGGATGAAAATCCCTGTTATAAGTTTCGAACTTGATATTACTAAGTAACTAATCTTATAGCCAGAGGTGTAGTGTTCAAAATATAAGATGTACGTTCTCTCATACCGTTTCTCGATCTGTCCTTAATTCACGATCACTTAACTTATATTTATGAGAGTTAATGCCATTCATTGTAGTTCTGTTCATGAGTGCTTGGTTATTTAGTGCAGTTTGACCACAACAAAAATAATAAACACATAATATCATTACGTGTATATGCTTTCGAATAATTAAATTTGGGAATTTAATTGAATCACTTCTAATTAAAGATATAAAATAAAATTTTTGAAATAAGAACTAACTAATTAATCTCATCTGTCACGTTCAGTTAAAAATATTTCGTGATAAAGTATTTCAAAAAATAGACTTTTCTATATGGGTGAAGTGATACAAAAAAGAAATAAAATTAGGTTAGTCGCTTCTGAAACGAATGAGAGAGAAATGCTGGGTATAATAAAGCGTAGTTTTTATATGGCCGATTTACATGTTGCACTATTTCATGATTAGAAAATTAACTTAATATCTTAAATAATGCAAAGGGTATAATATAAATTTCAACACTAAAGGTTACGTTTGATGTTTGTTCACGGACACTCTGAACATTATCGTCAGCACAAGAGTAAGATATTTTCTTTTTTTAACTCGAACTAACACTGAAAAATAATAATTTAGATAGATGTGTATTACTTTAATGTTACTTATATTTATAATTAGTCTTAATTAGACCAATATGCCACAACTGCTCTTGTTGTTGTTGTTTTCGGTAAAGCTAGACTTCCAGAGAGTTCCATTACTTGTGCTTATTTAAGCTTTCATTTTATAAATAACTGGTCGAAACACAACACGCCCCTCAGTGGCACAACGGTATGTCTGCGGAGTTACAACGCTAGAAATCGGGTTTCGATACCCGTGGTGGGCACAGCACAGATAGCCCATCGTGTAGCTTAATTTCGTGCTTAACTTCAAACGAAACACAAAATGAAATTATATCTCATACTTTTTATTTGTAATCTCTATGTTGGGATTTTGATATGAAATAATTAAGGTGAAAAATAGTATATTAGTGAGCTAAACACTTTTAGATCACATTTGTACACCATCTTCTATAATACAGAGCAATTACACAAAGACAAAAACATCAATTTATTTACTAAGATAAATATCTCAATCAAATTGAATATTCGCGAGTTTTAAACCTTTATAAAATTCTTCAGATTTTGATTTCACAAAAAAATTCAAAACGATACAATTTCTAGAGATATTTAGAATATTTCTCAGATTCTGGAAATTTGATATCCGTGAAACTAGCATTAATGAACTTTGGTAACCAGTAATTCTACATCAAACCTGGTATGTGTGATAGCTTCTCGTGTGTGATTCTATAATATGATCCTTCAATTGTAATATTATGTAAAAAAGAATACATGATTATTTCACTAGAGTAATTTAAGAGTTATTTTCTCGATAAATACATTAAATATCAAAATTAACATGGTTTATTTGATCAGGAAGTAATCAAGAAGCTAACCCAGTTTTTGTTTTGTCAGGTAATTCCAAAATTTGAAGACATAAAAGCTAAATCATTTATTGCAGGCATTCTAATACTCGACTTTATTTCTTTGGGTTACATATAGAATTATTTCTTTCTCATAGAACCGATTATGAGGACGCAGAGGTATTGTCTTTATTTCTAGGGGCACTGGTAATATCATTATATACGCATTAGGTTTTTATTTTCCTGTATTAATAAATTGCTGGAGCAGAAAATACTGCGAACTGAAAAATATCATAAACTAATACTACCTGTGTCTCATGATTTTGATTTTTTTATTATGTAGTTAATATAAGAAAACCTATTACTAGGAACGATATGAGAAGTGAAACAAACGATGTAATTATATGCAAACACTTCAAAAACTTATAAATATTTCCTCAAATTATTGATATACATATCCAAAAATATCTTCCCAGGTGAGAAATAAAAATCGTTTTTTTTCACAAATTCTGTCAACTGAAGGAAAAAAAAACATTGTCAAGTTATTAAATGCCGTCTAATTCAGAAATAATCCAGACATTCGATAAGCTGCAGTATTTGTTGATTCAATTATATGACTATATTTAATGATTATTCCCACAAATTCTATTACAGATTAAAAGTTTAAAATATTGGTCACCTTATTTAACAAGAGGGTAAGTTTTAGAACACAAAATTGGATGAATAAGATTATATATAAACATGTTATAGCAATATATTACTTGTCTGACGTCTGGTCGCATTACAATCAATAAGTAAACGTGCCTGCCTACGTGTATTAATTTTCTTGACGCATGGATACGTGTAGATATTACAGTCTATCTTGTAGTACTATTGTTACATAGCGGAGAGAAAAAGATAGATATACAACTTTAACACCTTAATTTTACGTAGATTATGGTAACTTTTCTCGTGATTTGTGGTATTTGGTGTATTTATTAATGTTTAACGGAGTTATTA